CCGGCATCTCTTGGAAAGGCTCACCTGCCAGCATGACTCGGGGTCCCTGGAGCCCAGCAGCCCGTGAGGGGCCCCTCCGGCAGCCCCCGGATGCCAGGGCTGGTGCCCGAGCCTCTCTCTGTGGCCACCAGGCAGCTTTGCAACACCCTGGAGCCTGATCCCACGCCACGGACCAAATGGAAACAGGAAAGCTTTTTGCAGCAGGAAACAACAACAACAACAACAACAACAACCCCCCAAAAACTAATCATCCAGATACGTGGGGGAATATTTTTATAGGTATTTTATAGGTAGGTCCTATCATGTTTCAATGATCTGTACGTCTGTGTCTATGCCAATACCAAATGGTGGAAACATCTTTTAACTTGAATATACGAGTAGATATTAAAAGTCAGAGCTGCATGCTCAAAAATGAAGCCTGATGTAAACAATCCCGATCATAATTAGAAGGCACTTAGTTTAGGAATTTTATAATCATTTAATATCTCTGACAAGCACCATATTTAGTTTATTACAAATTTATTTATTAGTTTATTTTAAGGAATTACTTACTTCATTTCGAGTAAAAAGCACCCTGAGCACTTTATTTTTTTTTTTTTAAAGATTTTATTATTTTTTAAGTAATCTCTATACTCAATATGGGGCTTGAACTCATGACCTCGAGATCGAGTCGCAGGCCCTCAGACTGAGCCAGCCAGGACCCCCACCAAGCACTTTATACAGATCTTCCTATGGGATGGCAAACTACCGCTCTATCAAAAACTTTTCCAAAATTCGATGCATTACACCATCTCTCAAAGAAAATCCAGTGCTGTGTGTCTAGAGCTCGTAGGTACCAAGCAGCTTCTTACACTTTAGAGGACGATAAAGGGAAAAGGACTCCTATCGTCCTCTAAAGGGAAAGAGCGCAAGGAATGGGCGTTTTAGAAAGTGAGAAGCAGGCGCACACCGGCACCTCCCTGTGACAGAGAGCCATCTTGGACGTGACACACTTCACACACGCCCCGATCTTCTCCCATGTGTCCCATGTCCTCCCCGAACGGGGCAACCATGCTCTCTCCTGCCTTGGTTGAGGCCAGCTCATCCTTCCAGTCTTTCCGGCCGAGACCTGGAGGCGTGGCCGGGCTCCACTCACTCACGTCCACAGCCAGTCCATTAACAGGTCCTGTCAACTGAGGACACTTCCACACCCCAGCCATCAGCTGCTGAGAACACTAACTTCTCGCCCTGGGAGTACTGCTCCAGCTTGCTAAGTGGCTCCCCACCTCGATGTGGCACAGATGGAGTCTTCGGAGTCAAGATAATTCTCACATCCGCAGTGAAGAAGTCAGCCCAAGTCCCACCGCTGTAAAGACAAAATCCGCGCACTCGCCAACAAGGAGGATGCGTGAAGAGCCCTCCCTTCCATCCGCTGGTGAGGAAGCACTGCTCTCCCCCCGAGTACCAAAAAAAGCTGGCGTTTAAGAGCTAAAGGTAGTGACTTCCAACTTCAGGAAAAACTCCCTCTTGCT